GAACCTCTCTGATCTTTGTGTGAAACTGCAATAACGTGTATATTGTTCAGTTTGACAGAAACCTAAAAGTCTATTAGGCTTTGTTTTCTTGTCTTCATTATTTTTTTCATTTTGCTTCTTGATCTCAATAATTTCTAATAGCCTATCATCAAGTGTGCTCATTCTTTTTTCTGCCTTGTTTCCTCTGCATTTAAATTACCCTAATAACTTTTTCAGTTCATTTATTATATTTCAGCTCCAAAATGTTTGTCTGGTTCTTTTTTATAGCTTGTCTCTTTGTTGATATTCACATTTTGTTCATATGTTATATTCCCGATTTTGTTTAGTTATCTATCTCTGTTCCCTTTTAGTTCATGAAATATCTTTAAGACAGTTATTTCAAATATTTTTCAAGTAATGCCAAGGGCTGCATTTCTTTTGGGTTAGTTTCCGAAAAGTTTTATTTTGCCATTTATTTGGCATTGTTTTTCTGTGTTTCTGTAGGACTTATAATCCTTTGTTGTGGTCGTTCCCTTCACGCTGAAGTGCCGTGGCACAGTCACAGCTCACTGCAACGCCCGGCTCCAGGGCTCAAGCGATCCTCCTAGCTCAGCCTCCCAAGGAGCTGGGACTACAGACTTTACTGACTGGCTTCACGCAGGGCAACACCTTCACTAATCAGCCCAGGATAAGGCTCTGGGACCTCTCAGTTCTTTTCTGGGGTTATATCTTCCCTGGCCTGGTATATGTGCTTTACTCCAGTATATGTGGCTGCTTATAAAGTATTTGTTTTTCCCAAGAGAATTGTCCCTTCTTCTTCAAGGTCTTCAGTGTCTGTGATATTTCTCTACTCAAAGTCTCTCCCTGCCATTCCCCACCCCAACCTTCCTGGCACCGGAGAATCTGTGCTACTCTAATGCACTGCAGAACCTGCTTATAATTTCAGTCGCCTCCGATCTGACATGCAAATAGGCCACTGTTCCTTTCAGTAATCAAAGTCAGGCAAGACAGAATCCAGTCCTTTGTGCAGATGCCAGACAAGCCAAAATGATGAATGCAAATTCTACTATTTTCTCCCATTCGAAGAAGGAAATAGGGAGGAAGGCACAAATACTGTGCTGGGGAGGAGATGGGGCAAAGATGAACAAATTTCCACAAACTTTCCTACACTTTCTGGGTCAGTTTTGTGTTGATTAGGTGTTCATTGGGCACTGAGCTTCTGTACTGGTTCTAGACTCTTCCCAAAGAGTCTATTTTGGACCATACGTTGTTGTTAAGACGGTGTCTCCATGGAGGAATGAGGGCCTGGCATTTGCGAGTCTGCCTTCTTGCGGACATCACTCTTTATGTCTCTTTTTATTTTGAAGATTATCTTAACAGGTCTGTTGATGTGATTTCAAAATATAGGAGCCAGAAAAAGAGACACTATTATTTTATACAACAAACAAGGGGACTTACCCTAAAAATTTTAATATGTAAAAATAGTTTAATTTCTTTTTTTAAACACATAATATTTTGATTAGTGAATTGTTTTAGTTTTTTCACTAATGCGATCAAGCTCATGCCTTGGCAACAGCCACCTGCTAGCTTGTTTCCTTAAACATCTCTGCCTACCCAGCCAGGGGATCATCATTCTGCCCCGATGGTTTCCTACATTGCTGTACCCTTGGTAAAGTTTCATTGTATCTCTGTGGACAGAACAACTTCATTCATCTTAATTTCTTGGCCATTTCCAGGTGGTTTTTTTCCCATGTCCTCCTAAAAATATTCATGCACAAGGAATCTTTATGTAGGATTTTGTTAAATATATGGGCAGAAATAGAACTCATGGGACATCCAATTTGATGCATGATATGTGAAATAGCAAATATTTAAGAGATGTAAAACTGCTTTCTTTCCACGTCATCATACTGTCTCCCTTTTGAATCCCTTCTTGTCCCACTCCTATAGTGTAATTCCCATATTTATGCATGGATCAGTGTTTCTTTCCAAGGTCAGAATTTGAACTACTCTAGTACAGTTATATGAGGGCTGTCCTTAAAGTATCCAGCCATTGTTAATATCATTGTTTATTTAATATCATTTTTCATATTATGTGGCTAGATACTTTCCAGACAGCCCTCATATTCCCAGATTTGCATGCACAGTTTATTCCTACATGCCTATTACTTCCTGCCCTCTACTCTTGCCCTGGCTCCATCCTGGCCTTTCAATACATGGTACCTTGATCTGGATGGAATATATTGTTACTTCCCAGCATATTAATTTTGTATTCCTGAACTCCCCAATTTCCACAGGACACCCTCACCTCCCACACTGCTCTCACTGTGTAAGGCAAGATGTTACTCATCCACTTAGCAATGTCAGGATGCTTCCTTAATCAATATGTACAGGGGGTGATGACTCAGCTACCATTATTCTGAGGGATGGCTGAGTAGCACCATTAGCAACACAGCTCAGCTCTTGTATCTCCCTTGTATTTCTTTATATGCTTAAAGTATTTGCTGTGACCAGTTATCTTCTATGCTGCCCGGGTGAACAGTTGTGCGTGAGAACGTGTCTGATCTTGCAGGCCCAGGATCAAATCCTCTCATTCTCAATTACTTTCTGTGCAAATTGGTGTTAAATACATGAATACTGTGGGCCCGGTGTCTTTATTTGGAAAATAATGATAATTTATCTGAAAGTTTTCAACACAAGTTAGCGCTGTGTGAGGCCTTAGAATATTGCATGTTTTACAGAAAAGTCTCAAAAGTTCCTGTGTTTAATGATTTATCAACTTTACAATGAGACGGTCCTTTCCCTGTCTTATTTAACTCACTGTACCATGAGAAATACCATAGACTGGGAGGAATAAACCACAAAAATCTATTTCTCCTAGACCATGAGGCTGAGAAGTCAAGATTAAGGTCGGTGCCAGACAAATTGGTTCCTGGTGAGAGTCCTCCTCCTGGTTTACCCCTGACTGCCCCACATAGTAGAAAGAACGACAGGAAACAAGCTGTTATGTCTGTTCTTTTAAGGGCATTAATTCTGCTTATGAGGAGTCCACCTTCATGACCTAATTGTGTCCCAAAGGCTGCACTGGCAATAACATCCCACTGGGGATTAGGACCTTGGCATATGAATTTTCGCTGGCATATTCAGACCATAGAGGCTGCATTATATTTTGTATGTTTTTATTTTTCTGTTTGTTCTAAACAATATGTTCTCTCATCTCAGTTAATGAATTTTCTAAGTACAAACTCTATTATATGTATTTTGTGGCTGATTATTAAAAGGTGATACATTATTAACCTGTTATTAAAGGACGATACATATATAGGGAATTGCTCCATTGACTATTACATAACTGCCTGTGAAATCATAATTGTGATTTCTCACTTCATTACCTAATTCTTATTTTGTGTAATGCTATGTATTTACCTGACCTCGTGCATCAAATGTCAGTGATCTTAACATATATTCCAGTTCTCATATCATGTGCTGCTTCTGAAATACTAGTTCCTACTTTTTTGTTAAGAGGGAAGTGTTTAGAATTTCACAGACTATAACTTTGTATAAATATGGTTATTAATTATTTGCTTCCTTGTTTTATTGTGGACTACTATGTTTTATTAATTAGTTTTTATTAAGATTTACAGATGATGGTTTTCCAGTATGTTTTATGCAATATAACTGGCGTGCATCAGTTATTAATGTCACAAATGTCTATATATGTATAGTTTTATAACAGGTATTCCAAAAAATATAGTATGTTCTAACTTTTATTAACTTTTTACTTATTTTCTCAGTGCTATTACTGTTTTACAGTTCAGAATTACCATTTATTTAGATTAGTCATTGCATAAGTTTATTGTGGCTTATTTACCATTAGAGTATATTGTGCAGTACATTAGCATTTACACATACAGTGTAAATATGCTATAATTATGTACAATCTAATTTGTTTTCTTTTCAATAACGAGACAACCATATGTTTTCCGAACATAGTTCTGTTACCAATTGGTGTGTACTTTGGAGTCAAGGTAGAAAAATATTAATACTCCTCTCAAGACTAGCATAAGTTTGTGCAATGTGAGTGTTTTGATCATAGGATGTTTGAAACTAGGCTTTCCTAAAATTCATTTGAATTACATGTAATCACCCTTTTTTTTTTATTAAAGATTCTTATTCCTATTATTTTCCTAAAAATCGAAAATCACGATTGGGAAGTTTTATAACTGTGTTCAATATTAAGTATGATTTTTTGTGTAGTATTGTTTTTTAATATGAAATATTTATTTACCATCTGTAATTAATCAGAAACCTGTGGTTCTTTATATCTTGTAGATATCTCTCCTAAAAGTGTGATCCAGGAATCACCCCCAATAGGGAACAGCTATACAGGAGAAATATT